CTAACACACTATGACGGCATGGCAGGCAAACTGACTCTACGTACAAATGAAACTTCGGACGTAACCGAAGATGATGTGGAAGCTGTTTTGGGCTTGCTTAGGGGACCCCTTGAGATTAAATACAAGGGAAAGAGGATCTCCTCTAATAATGCATTGTTCAATGAGTGGAAGAATAATATTGTGGCAGAAAAACTGTCGTCCGTTAAGTATTCGGAAATTGTAAGAGAAATGCTTGCCTGCACTTATGGAGGGAAATGGTTCAAATTCCATTTTATTCTTCTATTCAACTCCATGTACATCGAAAGTACAAAAAATGGGTATATTGTGCCACATATTCTGGAAGTTGTGGACAATGTAGACAAAATTCCCCATTTCAATTGGTGCAGATTCATCCTTCGAACCTTGAGTGCTGCAGCTGTCAGTTGGAAGGAAAAAGAAAAGGGATATTTTCCCGGTTGCATGTTGTTTATGCTTGTAAGTTTTGAAGCATATTGAATTTCTGCAAAAAATAAAAATAAAAAGGCAAAATGTGGAAGATATTTATTTTAACGATCTTTTCATTTGTATTTAGGTGCATTATGTTGATAGGGTGATCCTCCGCTTCGACCGACCTGTCGAGAGGTCTATTCCGGCATTAGTAGGATGGACAACTCCACTTCTAAGGCAGCGGCAGAGAGCAGAAGCTGTGGCTGGTGGTTTTGGACAAGGAAGAGTCGAGCCACGCAATCCAGAATATATACCAACCCAACCAGCTTCTCACATTCCTGCTGTTAATGCTCAGAGTATCCCTGAGGTACAGAATGTTAGGATTGATGCTGAGGAGGTATGTTCATTTTTTGTTTTTTTTTAAACGCATATAAAGTTATAATCATATGCACGTTTAGTATTTTTATCATGCACGTTAGGATTTACTGTGGCGCACACTAGTTGATAACCCTTTGCATATTACCACGGTTATATACATATCGGTTGAAAGCACATTAACACAATACAGGACGCACATTAAGGTGTGTTAGATGTAATTAACATTGATACACATCATGTATTAATCATACAAACGTTGATTTCCCACACAGGAATACTGCAATGCATATGAACAGAGTTTAATAAACTTTTGTGATGAGGTGAACAATCTTATTCAATACAACAGCAGATCATCCTGCATCATCCACAATAGAGATAGGGTCAGGAATCTGAAAACGCTTGCACACAAAGCACTTGCTGCTGCAATTCCAGGGGTGGAATCAACCCTCTCCCAAGAGGAAAGAAGTGCATTTGACCCTGAAACATGTACTGCAATTGAACTTTCAATACAGAATAAGGTGAAATATATTAGGGAATCTTATGATATCCCTGCTTCAGACTCTACAATTAGCCCCCTTCAAACAACCCCAATTCCAACACAACCACATACAAATACTCTGGATGATATTGCACATGTTGCCTCTATCTACCTTAATGAACAACAACAAGATGACGTTTTAGAAGAGGAGCATGAGGATTCAGACCAACAGCCAGAATGTGCTAAAAAAGAGGGTGAGCAGGTTGAGGCTGTTGCCACAGAAGCTGTTGCACACGTTATAGAACAAACTATAGTTCAGCAGGTTGTGAGTGAGCAGGTTACGTCTGTTGCCACAGAGTCTAATGCGGGCGTTGAAGAACGAACTGGAGTTGATGAGGTTCAAAGCGAGCAGTTTAATGCTGTTGCCAGTGAAGCTCTTGCAAACGTTGCACAACAAACTGGAGCCAATGAAGTTGATAGTGAGCACATTAAAGCTGTTGCCAGTGAAGCTTGGGCCGACGTTGCAGAAAACACTAGACTTAAGGAGGTTGAGCAAGCTGAGCTTCCAGAACAAGTTTCACTGCTGGACAGTGTTACACATGCTGATGGTGAGTGTCAGAAAACTATGACTGCTAGAAATGAAGAGCACCTAACAGTCACCCCAAACATTTCAGTATCTGACATAGAGCAAGGTGAGATTGAAATAAATCTTCCAGTGTCACCTATTGGTGCCGGGGAGAATGCGAAGGACGCTGAGCATGCAGTTTGTCTTTCAGAACTTGTAAGCATACCAAAGTCGTGTCTTAGTGTTCAAGCAGCTCATCTTCCTCTCGATGCAGTCCCTCCTAGTGTTCAAGCAGACATAGGGCAAGGTGAGGCTGAAATAAATCTTACAGTGTCACCTATTGATGCCGGGGCGAATGCGAAGGACGCTGAACTTGTAAGCATACCAAAGCCATGTCCTAGTGTTCAAGCAGCTCATCTTCCTCCCGATGCAGTGCCTCCTGGTGTTCAAGCAGACATAGTCCCAGAAGCAGCAGCTTCAAAGAAAGCTGGAAAGGCTATATCAGAGCCTGCTGAAGATCATCAGCAGAGAGGACGGAGAACACGAAAACGGTCAGAAACAATGAAATCCCCATTCTTTTTAAGACAGGTGCAACTCTCATCACCAATCACTACTGCTGAAAAAGCACTTAAAGTTTGGATTGAAAAGGCAGATGGATCGATTGAGTAAGTTATACCTAAGATCCCTATTTTGTTTTTTTTTTTTTTTTTGCTAATTGATCCTGCTAATATCTTGAATTTTTTATTTTATTATTTTTTTGTTTTTTCTAATCTTTATGTTAAATATTTTTATCTGCATATTTGTAGCTATGATAAAGTGTTATCTTCCCCTAATAAGTTCCCCTTTCCCAATGACCAACCATTAGGTGCAATCGTGTGTGCCCTAATTTATGCCCCAACTCCCATTGGTGACACAAACATGGCTATGAAGCTAGTAACTATGGCCATTAATTACAAGCATCAAACAATATTGTCACGATTGCAACACAAGTATTAAACCCAAATAATAATATTTTAAAGAAACTAAGAGCTCAGGCACATAGGTTCATAAACACTTTTACCCAAGAATCTCTAAAGAATTTAGCCAAGCATGACTAAATTATACATAGCAAATATAAATAAAGAATTACAAATCATCAAAAGAGAACAAGAATTAACCAGACGATTTTCCCAAACCTCCCTAGTCTTCTTCTTGCTTTCCAAGACAACTTGTGGCTCTTGATTTCTCTCTTTCTAGTCTCCAAGAATCTCTGAATTCTCTTCGTCTCGTCTGTGTCATTAGGGTTGAGGAATGAGGGATTTTATAGTGGGTACAAAGTTGAGATGAAATAGGAATCTTGTACCAAATTGGACTCAAATTCTAATTCCTATATTTAAATAAAGAAATTGTCGTCTTTAATGATATTTAGAATTTGGAAGATTCCTTGAATTGCTAACTTTTAATATGGAGATATGAGCCTTGAAGTCCGCGCAATTGATACTAGGAAAAGAAATCTCACGCTTGTATTGAATTTTGCCCAGCTGCGCCACTTTAGGCGTCTGTTTTTTATCCGCGCCACTTTAGGCGTCTGTTTTTATCCCAGAAACAGACGCATATTCGACGTGTCGAGAATTTTCTCGACACGTCGAGACTTCCTGTGCGCGAATTAATTAGCTACTGGAAAATTTTGACGTGTCGAGCCCGGGCTCGACGCGTCGAGTCCACTGGGCCCCGAACTCATCCAAAATTGCTCCAAACTCATCCTTGAACTCCCCTTGGTCATATCTTTGACCTAAAATGGTTCAAAAACACTAACAAACACCGTAAAATATTCAAAACAAGTGCGAACCATAATTAAATGATAATAGCAAGGAAAACATGTATTAAACAGTGATGTAAAACTCGGCCGCCTAGCCGCCTAGGCGCCCGCCTAGGCGCTAGGCAGCCACTTACCTTGGCGTTTTGGCCTATAGGCGGCCAAAACGCGCCAGGCCGCCTAGGCGGCCGCCTGGGCGGTCAACTCGGCCGACTCGGCCGAGTTTGGCCGAGTCGGCCGAGTTAATTCAAATTATTTTTTTTTGGGTTTTTCGCTCAAAACGACGTCGTTTTGAGCGAAAAACCCAAATTAAAAAAAAAAAATTCATTCTGATTTCTAACTCCTAAGTCCTAATCGATTTCTAACCCTAACTTCTACACTCCGTCGAGACACACACTACAGCGAGAAGCGGAGAACTGCCCAGCGAGAAGCCGAGAACACCGTCGAAGCGCCGTCTCCGTAGACTCCAGCCGTCCGTCGCCGTCGAGCTCCAGCCGTCCGTCGCCGTCGAAGGTCCAGCCGTCCGTCGCCGACTCGCCGTTGAAGGTCCAGCTCCGTCGCCGACTCGCCGTCGCAGGCGTCCAGCACTCCACGAACGTCCAGCACTCCACCGTCTCCACGAAGGTCCGTCCAGCTCTGTACTGTATAACTGTAAGTCTGAAAGTTCTCACCCCACTTCTCAAACAAAATTCAATTTTTCAGTTTTTCACTTTTCAATTTTTAATTTTTTATGGTAATTTTCTACATCACTCCTTAGTCCTTTGTTAGTCACTTGCCCATTTATCACTTGCCCATTGCTCCAAACATGGTCTAGGCAGTACGCAAATAGTAGGCAGTGTTGGTCTAGACAAGTTTGAAACTTTGAATTATATAATAGTAGGCAGTGTTGGAAAATGGTGTATTTTACATTTATTGAATTGTGAAATTGTGAATTGAATTATGCATTTATGCACTATGCTTACATTTTCATATGCACTATGTGAAATTGTGAATTGAATTATGCACTATGCTTACATTTTCATATGCACTATGTGAAATTGTGAATTGAATTATACATTTATTGTGTATGATTTTTAGTTATAATGACTTCATCAAGTGCTTCGGCTACTCAAAGTGTTGGATCTTCTGAAGCATCTATACTTAAAAGGAGATCAAATGATGTAGGGTAGGAATATGGTATTTTAGTTGATGGGAAAAATTTGGATAAAGTAAAATGCTTGTTGTGCGGGAAAGTTTTATCCGGTGGAGTGCATCGAATAAAAGAGCATATTGGTCATATACAAGGAAATGTTGCTCCGTGTTCTAAAGCTACTAAAGATGATCAACTTAAGTGTAAAAATGCAATCAATGAAGTCAAAATGAGAAGGAAAAATAAAAAAGTTAATGAAGATAATTTAAGAGCCGAGGTGAATATTAATAGTAGAAGTGAGTCAATTGATGTTGAGGACTTGCAAGGGTCTTTTGGATCTATGAAGCCACCACGTTCACTTGGCCCAATGGATAAGTTTGCAAGTGGCATAAATCCCGAACCTTTCATGAATTTAGGAAAGACATTGCAACAACAACGTATTGATGGTGCAATATGGAAGGAAAGGACCACTAAAGTGAAAGAATATATATGTAGATGGGCATATGAGGCCGCTATTCCTTTTCATGCATTTGCAAAAGATAGCTTTAAGATGATGTTAGAAGCAGTTGGACAATTCGGTCCCGGAGTTGAATCACCAAGTAGATATGAGATGAGTGAAACATTCTTGAAAAAAGAAGTTGATAAAGTTCGTGAGTCTTTGAAGATACATGAAGAGGAGTGGAAGCTAAATGGGTGCTCAATCATGACGGATGCTTGGACCGATAGAAAGAGAAGAAGTGTAATGAATTTGTGTGTGAATTCAAATTTGGGCACCGTTTTCCTTTCTTCTAAAGAATGTTCACTTGATTCACACACAAGTCAATATATTTATGAGTTTGTTGAGCATGGCATTGAACAAGTTGGAGTTGAAAATGTTGTTCAAGTTGTCACGGATAATGCCTCAAACAACATGGGAGCTTCAAAGTTGTTGAAAGAGAAGAGGCCAACCATCTTTTGGACTTCTTGTGCCACTCACACGATAAATCTAATGCTTCAAAGCATTGGAAATCTCCCGAGGTACAAGAAAGTCCTTGATCAAGCAAAGGCATTAACGATCTTTATTTATGCTCATCACACGACTTTGGCAATGATGAGAACTTTCACAAAGAAGAGAGATATAGTGAGGCCCGGTGTGACTAGATTTGCATCTTCATTCCTTACTTTGCAAAGTTTAGCCGAGAAGAAGATTGAATTAAGGGCAATGTTTTCTAGTAATGAATGGGAGGCATGTAAATTTTCCAAGATAGCTAAAGGGAAGGTAGCACACACAACCGTAACAAGTTTGGGATTTTGGCAAGGTGTAACGGCATGTTTGAAGGTTTTTGCACCATTGGTGAGAGTACTTCGACTTGTTGATTGTGATAGCAAGCCATCAATGGGATTTGTATATGGTGAGCTTATGAGAGCTAAAGAGGAAATCAAACATACTTTGTCCGATGTCCCAAGGAACTATAAATCGATTATTGACATTATTGAAGAAAAAATGAAAGATATGCTTGACTCTCCTCTTCATTTGATGGCATATTTGTTGAATCCTTATTACCATTATAAGGATCCACAACTTCATTTGGATGAAGTTGTAGGTGTTGGGGTTGTTGATTTTTGTGATATTCTATTCGTCAATGATTTTGACATGCAAAATAAGATTTTAAGTGAAGAATTGTCAAAATATAAGAAGAAGGAGGGGATGTTTGGAAGAAGTATCGCAATCAAAGCATGTGGGGTGAATGATGACAACTTTAATCCCGGTAAGTCATTCTTTATTCTTTAATACTTTATTGTTTACTTAACTATATTTATTTATTTATATTTGATTATTTATTAATTATTATAAACTTTGTTTTGTAGCAAATTGGTGGTCAACTTTTGGTATCTCAGCCCCTTTATTGAGAAGAATAGCCATAAAGATTCTTTCTTTAACATCTAGTTCTTCGGGGTGTGAAAGAAATTGGAGCACGTTTGAAGGGGTTAGTAATTTAATATGATATTCTATTTAGTTTGTTATCAACTTGCCATGTTAAATTGTTAATATAAAATATAAATATGAATTATGATACTTAATACTTTGTTAATCATTAATTCATTATTTCAACTTTTGAATAATTTTATTACTTGAATTGTAGATACATACAAAGAAGAGAAATAGGCTTGAATCAAATCGTCTCAACAATTTAGTTTTTGTCCAATTTAATGCTACTTTGATGAACAAGAACAAGCAAGATAAAAATATTGAAAAGTTGGTTGGTAGTGATGCAAGTTTAGCACAAGATTGGATTGTGGAAAATGTTGAGAATGATGAGAATGAGCCGGGAATGGATTGCAACAATAATGCTATAGAAGTGGATGAAGCATTACAACCCCGTAGAAGTGCTAGATTGAGGGATCTTGATGAAGATAACTTTGAATCGGAAGGGGAAAGTGAGGTGGAAATAAATGAAGTGGAGTTTGAAGATGATGGGCAACGTGTTATTGAGCAATATGGACAAGATGAAGAAATTGGCAATGATCCTATTCAATCATGATTCATGAATCACTTTGGATTTTAAAACTTTTAATGTTAATTATGTTGTAAGTTTGTAACTTGAATGTTGAATTTTTGTTGAATGTTGAATTTTTGTTGAATGTTAATTATGTTGTAAGTTTGTAACTTGTAAGTTTAAACAATGATACTTGGATGTTGTTTCATTAGTTGGATGATTAAATGTGGTATTGTTGTTTGAGTAATTGAGTGTTTGACTTGTTTAGTTGTTTGAAGGAATGTATGATAGATTGATAGTTTTATTATTTGGACGTGCTATTTGATTGAATGTTGAAAACAGCTTCATTAAATTTGTCAAACTGCAAGTCTATTACTGTTTTTTAATTTTTTTTTAAGAGTCTGCCTAGCGCCGCCTAGATTCCGCCTAGGCCCCGCCTAGGCGCTAGGCGCTGCCCGGCCGCCCGACTAGCGCCTAGCGCCTACTGCAACCTTGGTATTAAATAAGCAAAATTAAAGAACTTAGTTACTGGATGATTCAAAATAACCATAAAAACAAGCACAGATGTGATAACATCATTTGAGCATGGTGAAAAACTCCTATTCTTGATCAATATGAAATCACTGCTAAAGAAACAGCATGTTGAGTCGGCAGTGTTAGACACATGGAGTTTGATCCTAAACTACTTGGAGTATAACTGCAGTTCGAAAGACTCAATTAAGAGATTCTTTTTTACAACAAATCCAGTGGTAAGTTATTCTTTGAACCAGTTATAGTTTCATGCACATTTAATAACATATTGAAGCATCTATAGGATTGAAACTGTAATTGTAAACTTTTTCATTTAGGCATGCCCACGATAACATATGCTTTCGCAGGCTTTGATTTCAGAAAAAGATATATAAAATAACATCACTTATTAATGAAATGTATAATTAATATCTAAACGACATGATTTTGTAGACAAATTGTATTGTGAATGCACCAACAGAAGAGATCACTGATAAATTCTACTCTAAGTTCGAAAAAGAAGTGGATGGGGAGCTTGAAGCTTATGATAATCCTTTTACCCGACGTTTGGTATATTATATTCTAAATTCTTTTAATAAGATTTGTATTTATTGTTTCTCTGTGCTAACACATTTAAAACAAATTCCAACTTGCAATTCTTTTTTCTAGTCATCAAATATGATCACATCTATGGAATATGCATTGATATATTCCCTGGGTATACACGGATTGATATACTCGACAATTCCTCCGTTGGTGGTACTAGCACAGAAAAATATGGCAATCTACCTCGTACATTGGTAAGTATTGACTCACATATTTTAAGTCATTATACAAACTTTAACATTTTATTATAATTTAAAAAAAAATAATTTTCTATTTTATTGCAGTAACAATATTTTGCGCGATATTTGAACAGTAGGATGCTGCACACTTCTTCAGAGACAATTAAAAAAGCTGTAATAACAAGAATGGAGATGAGATGTCGAGATTCAACAAACAAGCATGAGTGTGGTGTATTTACAATGCGCCACATGGAAACATACATGGGAACTGGATCGAGCGATTGGGACTGTGTCATCAGGAGGGGAAAGACAAAAGATCTTAATGATCTCAGGATCAAGTACATTGCAGCGATTTTAAATGCTGAAAATAACCAATTGTCCACTGAGAACAACAAAAAAGCTGGTCTTGAAAAAAAAAAAATAGCCCACTTAGTATTAGTTTATGTAATTAGCAAATATTAATATATTTTTGTTATATAAAAATCCTTTTGATACGTTAAGCAAATTAGGTTATATTTTAGCGCACATTACAACTTGCGTGACTGCATATCTTAATGTGCATTCATTTGCATACTAAAAATAACATTGAAAATAATAATTATTAAAAACAAAGAAAAAAAAATCAAGTAAATTAATGTGCGTTCATATTCATCATTACGTGCGACTTACTAGCGAACAACGTGCGGGACCACATATCTACATGTGCATTCGTTTGAGTACCAATTGAGATAAATCATTTCTCTCATTACTCTTTTAATATGCGTATCATATCTCTTTAATATGCGTCTCGAATATATTTAATAAGCGTCTCGTTTATCTTTAATATGCGTCTCGTATATCCTTAATATGCGTATCATATCTCTTTGATGTGCGTCCGTTAGAATAATACTTCAGTATGCTTTTGTGTTAGTTTATTTCGCGCATTCAACTTAAAAATATCACTGTACTATCATTTCAAACAAATTTTGCGCACTCCGATTCTAAGACAACTGAATTAGTACTCCACGAGTACTCCACAGAAATCTTCCTACATTCGCCTTCTTCAGATTCCAATATCATTTTTCAAAAATTTTACAGATTACAGCCGTCATTCTCCATTCCAAACTATTTTTAACAACATCGCACGCATGGCGTCGCCGGGAAATGCTCTGATAAATCTACTCAAATAGCAGCTACTGCGCAAGGTAAATTCGACCCCTGTTCATCCCTATAATATCGTTTACTGATTAATTTCACGCACGGTATGATTTCCCTGTTTATCTCAGAATGATACAAAAAAAATAAAGTTTAGATGCAAACACAACGTCATGCTACTTCAACCATGCTATGAACTAAATTGTTGCAATATATATACATATATATACTCATTGACGCATACTAGTATATAATTGTACAAACATGTTTTTTTCAACGAACTGAACTTCAAATTCATACATTAGGTTTTTATTAAACACACACCTTAAGTAATGTTTGTATTCAATTTACTTTACGACCTAACGCACAATAAGTACTACAATAGAGCATAACCTGTACTCACCTGACGCACATTAAATTTCAGACTCACTGAATAAGTTATACTAACACGCATATAAAGAACTATCCTAACGCACATTAACTTTCAAAACTCCCATATCTTTATGTTACATAACTTATGTAGTTTTCCTTATGCAAACTACATTCAACTTACTGCGCATTGATCATGCATTTACCCTTCCTTGCATTTATTTATTTTTTAAAAAAAAAACAATAGGTAAAAAACGGAAAAGCCAGCAGAAATTAGATATGGTTATTGCTACATCATCTGGGGGGACTGTACAGGTTGGAAAACAAAGACAGCGATCAAAAAATAGAAACCAAGGAATTTATGACGGTGTGCCTGAAGTTAAGAACAGGGGATCATCAGCTAAGTTGGTTGACGCAATGAAAGATTTTAGCGCTGAACAACGAGCTGTAGTCAATGATATAGGTTTTGGGAGTATCCTTAGCCTGCAGATTACTGAATTCCCAATACGCTTGAGCTATTGGATACTCCATAACTACGATCCAATGGCCGGAACCTTAACATTGCACTCTGGTTCCAAGCTTGATGTGACAGAAGATGACGTTGAATCTGCCTTGGGCTTCCCAAGGGGACCAATTGAAATTGCATATGAGAAAGACAGGTTGTCTCCTACTCTCCCACTTTTCTTGGATTGGAAAGCCAAGATTCAACCAAAGAACCCAACCAAAATCCTGTATGGTGAGGCTATTAAAGCAATGATGGAGTGCACTGATGGAAGAGAATGGTTCAAGATCCACTTCATGGTGATACTAAGCTCTATGTACATCGATGGCCCTAAGAGTGGCTATGTTGGTCCACGCATCTTAGATGCATTAAATGATATCACCAAAATACATGAATTCAATTGGTGCCGCTTCCTATTGCAGCGATTGAATACTGCAGTACTTGCTTGGCAACCAAACCCGACTGGTTATTTCCCCGGGTCCCTCCTGTTCATGCTTGTAAGTCTTACATGTGTATTTGTTCTATTTAAAATACAAAACATAGTACCTTCTGTTGCTAACATTTGTCATTTGTATTCAGGTACACTATGTTGATCATGTTTTGTTACAATTCCATAGACCTGTTAAAAGAGCTATTCCAGCTTTAATAGGATGGACAACTAAACATTTAAAAGACCGAGAGTTGGAAGAGTTTAAGTCTGGGGCTTTTGGAAGAGGCATAATTCATAAACGTAATCCCCAGTTTGTGCCCACTCAAACGTATTCAGAAGAATTTGATTGTACTAATCAACCGGAAGTGGAAGCTTTTCCTGCTGTCAATGGTCAACAACAGACTGAAGTACAACCTGTGTTACTTGAAAGAGTGAAGGTGTGTTCTTCATTCTATGGCGTTTTTTGTTTATTTTTATTCAAGCTACTTTCACTTATATTACTGTATAATTGTAAAGCACATTATGTTTTACCATAACACACACAATAATTCATGTGCTTGCAAATTTAAAGATCATATTTCACTCACATTATGACATAATCGTATGCACATTAATTCTTACAACAGGAATTCTGCACTGGTTATGTACAGTCTATGCAAAGATTTTCTGGTGAGATGGTAACCCTGATTGACTACACAAAAAATTCACCAGCCATGTTTGAAAACAATGAGAATCTAAAAACCCTGCATTCATTGGCTATGAAGGCACTCAGTCCTGTAGTTCAAGGCGTGCAATCATGTCTCTCCCAGGAAGAGCGGGAAGCATTTAGCAGCCAAGACTCCTTTTGGGGCGATCCAGAAACATATATTGCAATTGACCTTGCAATACAAAAAAGGAAAGAATATTTGGAAGAACAGCTGTATGAAATTCCTAGTTTCAACCTTTTAAAAACACCAACCCCAAGCCCCACTTGCAACAATGCTGATAGTGCTACAGTGACCTCCGTTGCCACTTCCAATCCAAAGGAGGCACAGACAGAAACCAGCATCTCAGATGATGTTTTAAATATTGCTGCTTGCTATGTTGTTGATGGTCTTCAGCAGACTACTTCGAATGGGAACAATAATGACCAGTTTAAGTCTTGTGACGAAGAGCACCATGCTGACAGTGCAAATAAAGAACATGTTGAAACACATAACACTTAGAATACAAATAAGACAAGTGTTAAAGAAGCTGCAAAAGAAGCATCAACACCTGTTGATGAGAGACTACAAACACACTGTGTGCAAATCAAAAAGATCTATGTGATGGACTATCC